GAGACACAGCGAGAGAGGGAACACAAGCAGGGGGAGTGGGAGAGGGAGAAGCAGGCTTCCTGCCGAGCAGGGAGCCCGATGCGGGGCTCGATTCCAGGGCCCCGGGATCAAGACCTGAGCCGAAGGCAGACGCTTAACGACTGAGCCACCCGGGCGCCCCTGGGTTGAGCAGTCTTAAAGGTACAGAGACCCTCATGTTGAATAGACACGAGTGCACTGCATGAGTGAATGCTTAAAATATACTTAAGATTTTTGTCTTATATTTTTCTGGGAAAGTATTCCTTAATAAAATGGATAATTAGAGTGTTAGCGTAAAAAAAAATAAATACCATACCATCCAGTAATTCCACTACTGGGTATTTACCCAAAGAAAACAAAAACACTAATTTGAAAAGATACATGCACCCCTCTATGTTTACTGCAGCATGATTTACAATAACCAAGATAAGGAAGCAACAACCCAAGTGTCATCAATAGATGAATGGATAAAGATGTATTAAAGTGTTAAAGAAGATACACACACACACACACACAGTGGAATGTTCACCATTAAAAAAAAAAAAAGGGAGAGAGAGAGATCTTGCCATTTGCAAGAATATGGATGGACCTAGAGGGTATTATGCCAAGTGCAGTAAGTCAGACAAAGGAAGACCAATACCATATGATTTCATTTATACATGGAATATAAAAAATAAAAAACAGACTCTTAAATACAGGGCACAAACTTGTGGTTGCCAATGGGGAGGTATTTGGGGGATGGGCTAAATAAAGGGGATTAAGAGGTACAAACTTCCAGTTATAACATGAGTAAGTCATGGAGATGAAAAGTACAGCACAGGGAATATAGTCAATTCTACTCTAAAAACGTTGTACAGTGATAGATGGTGACTACACTTACTGTGGCAAAAAATGAGTAATGTATGGAACTGTTGAATCAATATGTTGTACACCTGAAACTAATATAACATTGTATGTCAATTACACTTCAATAAAAATAAAGAGAAGGTTCTATGAAGTTATATCTCACATATAGATTTTTATATTTTATGAAATGATAATGTACTATGGTTATATAAGATGTTGTTAGGATAAGCTGGGTGAAGGGTATACGGGAACAATGCACTGTTTTTTTAACTTCTTATGAGTCTCAAATTATCTGTAAATTAAAAATTCAAGACAGAAGAAATGTTGGGCAACCAAAGCTGGTAGGGCCAGCCTGAGCAGGATGAATGGCAGGCGCATGGGGTCCGCAATTGTCCTGCCGTCTGAGATTTCCAGATGCTGCACCTAAGTCTCTAGAATTTAATCAGTACAAACAGTTGATCTGGTTATCTATAGAACTTGCTTTTGTCTTTTATAGTATTGGATGGAAACTATAGTTATTTAAAAATATTAAAGTCATCAAAAGTCAACTAGGTTTTCTTAACTACATATTTTTCTACTTTGGGGCACTGGAAATATAAAGAAACATGTAGAGGTAAAACCACAGTTACCTGTATTCTGCTACCCAGAATCATTATTTACATTTTGTCACATATGCTTCCAGACTCTCTTTCTGCATATACTTTGCTTTTTAATTGCAAGAATAAGTTTATGAATCTAATTTCAATAAAAGAAATGGGTTTTATGGCAAACGTATTAGAACATGGCTTTCCCAGAAAGGCTTAACATTATCAAATAATGAGAATGGAAAGTTTTCTATATAGTTATTCATCCTTTATTTTTAGGAAAAGATTACTCCTATCTCTACCTTATTCCTTTATAATATAGTCTTTACGGTATTTTTCATATGATATAACAAAGGAATGTACTTAATGTTTCAGTGAGTGAAGAACTCCATTCTCAAAGAAATGAGCAATCCAGTTTTTCTTTTAGTTTTCAGGAGTATTCTCTAGATTCTCTTGGCCCATAGTCTATCCTAAAAATCAGTAATTCTTTTGAAAGCAAAACAAATTTTTAAAGTTCTACCTAATATGATTTACTATAAACTTTTCTCTGGTCATTGGTAAATACGAAACATGGGGAGAATATATACACTTTATGATTATCGCCAATGTCATCATCATTTTATGTTAAATTTCTTTTTGTATGTTTTCCCTTAGTTACCTTAATATGCTTTCTTAATTTCGTTATGCCTTCCATTTTCAAAAATTTTAATATCTGTTTCAGAAAGTTCCTTACCAGTCTGCCAAATCCATTACAGAAGGAAGCATATACTCCCCTAATATCCTCAAGCTTTTTGCAAACTTATGAGTTATTTAAGTTTTAGGTTTACATTTAGGCTAAGTAGCTAGCTTACTTCATACTGTGTTCAGTAATTTATTCAGTGTTTATTGAGCATGGATATTGGGTACATGAGAAAAAGGGGAGCAAGGAAACAACAACCCCATATCCCCACATTGCTTAGAGGCTAGACAAGAAACAGACATCATTCAAAGAACCACGCAAGGGGCGCCTGGGTGGCTCAGTTGGTTGAGCGACTGCCTTCGGCTCAGGTCATGATCTCAGGGTCCTGGGATCGAGCCCCGCATCGGGCTCCCTGCTCGGCGGGAAGCCTGCTTCTCCCTCTCCCACTCCCCCTGCTTGTGTTCCCTCTCTCGCTGTCTCTCTGTCAAATAAATAAAATCTTTAAAAAAAAACAAAACAAAAAACAAAGAACCACACAAATGTCTAATCACACCTGAGACAGGTCTTATGAAAGAGAGATTCATGGTGCTGTACTGGGGCGGGGGGTGGTGGCAGGGAATGGGGGACAGGGAATGGACTTAGTTGAGGAATGCTTCCCTGAGAAATTGATGACTGATCTAAAGGTAGAGTTAACTGTTACTGGCAGAGAGTGTGATGCATGGTACACGGTTAAGTAGGAAAGATAGTCCAGCCAGGGGGAACCAAATTTCTATGCACTAAAAATAATCACTGGGGAGCCTGGATGGTTCAATCGGTTAAACATCCGACTCTTCATCTCAGCTCAGGTCTTGATCTCAGGGTCATGAGTTCAAGCCTCACGCTGCACCCAGCGTGAGCCTACTTAAAAAAAAAAAAAAAAAAAATCACTGAGTCATTAAATGTTAAACCCCTTTTGGATGACTAAACTGAGAGAGGTTAAATGATTTGCCCAAAACTCACACAGAGAGTTAATGAAGTTAAGGGCCTGTACTCAGATGTCTTCATTCCTCATCCAATATTTTGTCTACTGTGCAAAGCTGCCTCCCCCTCTAACATTGTTTTTTTTTTTTAAAGATTTTATTTATTTGAGAGAGAGAGAATGAGAGATAGAGAGCACGAGAGGGAAGAGGGTCAGAGGGAGAAGCAGACTCCCTGCTGAGCAGGGAGCCCGATGTGGGACTCGATCCCGGGACTCCAGGATCATGACCTGAGCCGAAGGCAGTCGCTTAACCAACTGAGCCACCCAGGCGCCCTAACATTGTTTCTTAAATGCTTTGCTTTTTTGCCTCAAGGGAAGTGTGCCAGGAATGATCCACTGACTCAGCTGTTAGCTAGCAGTAGCAAAAATAGTAATTTAATCATCAAAAAGTTAAATGAACCATTCATTATTACTAGATTGCTTTTGTCAGTAAGCAATAATGCAAAGTCACTGCTGTCTTACCTTCAGCAAGAACACACAGAGGATAAATTGGCATCCACAGTGTCTGACTGAGCCAGGTCAAGACGGCATAGGATATTCCTATGACTGATAACATGCTGTAAGTGTACCTAAAAGAAAACAAGGAGCTCAGAAACATCATTTCCTGCTGATGTCTGGGAAAGAACAAGAGAAGAAAATACCTTACACTGTAATTAAATACAGAGATACAACTGGAAAGTTTAAATTCCAAACTTTATATCCTATCATTTAAGCAGAAGAGGTAAACATAAATACATACATACATACATATGGGGAAGGGAACTGTGTCAGTCTGGCTTGTCTCAGGGGGTGGATCATGGATAATTACAAAGGTAAACAAAGAAAAATGGAACCCTTAGCCCTTAGCAAATTACAAGTTTCCCTGATTAGTGGCTTCAATTTCACTCAAAAGCTAAGCCCATTTTATGCAGCATGCCGCTAGATTTTTAAAGACAGACATACTTGTAGATATTTAGGGAATGAATTTTTAAAATGCAAGTGTGACTTCCAAGTCCTTATTTGGCATCCTTCTGCTTGTGTAGTTGTGCTATGCTGTGTGATCAGTTAAAGAACTGGCCTTTCAAGCTTGTTTTGGGTGCAGAGGTGGTTTTAAAGCTGCCTTCATGATGTAATAGATGAAGCAGTCTGCATCTTTTTGTTTCTCTGACTAGGCAGTGGTTCTCAAGCTTCAGCATACATCAGAATCAGCCAGAGGTCTTGCTGAAGCACAAATTGCTAGGCCATATACCCAGAGTGTCTCATTCCATGGGTCTCAGGTACAGCCTGAGATTTTCTATTATAAGCAAGTTCCAGGTGATGCTAATGCCACACTAGTCTAGGGACTATACTTTGAGAACTACTGGAATAGGCTGTACATAATATGGCAAAACAAAATCCAAAACCTTGAAAACATGGAGAAAACTAAACCTTTCTTCTATTCTAGGACCCCGATTCCATTCCAGAGGCAATGATCAATGCCAGTTTCTTATATATCCTCTCAAATATTCTTGCATTTGCTTATCTGTGTATATAAAAACCATACACCAACAGTGCAAGCCTTCACTAAACATGGCATGTTATCAAACTTGATTTGTACCAATCTCAGTGAAAAATTGGGATCTACTTTTTTATTGCAAGAGTAAATGAGCATCTTATATGTTTAAAGCCACTTCTGATGAAGTCCAATGTATCTTTTATTCTTTTGTTGCTTCTGTTTTTGGTGTCTAAGAATCCACTGCCAAATCCAAAATCACCAAGATTTACCCCTATGCGTTCTTCTCAGAGTTTTATAGTTTTAACTCTTACATTTAGGTTTTCGATCCATTTTAACTTCTGTGTATGGTGTGAGGTAAGGGTCCAATGCAAGTGGACATCTCGTTGTCCCAGCACCATTTGTTGTAAAGACTATTTCCCCCCCACCATTTAATGGTCTTGGTACCCTTGTCAGAAATCAATTGACTATATGAGAATTTATCCCTGGACTATCAATTCTATGATATATCTTTATGCCAGTATCGCATTCTTATTATTGCTTTGTATTGAGTTTTGAAATTGAGAAGTGTGAGTCTTCCAACTATGTTCTTCTTCTTCAAGATTGCTTGGGCTAGTCTAAGGTCCTTGAATTTCCATTATGAATTTTAAGATCAGCTTCACAATTTCCGCAAAGCAGCCAGCTGGGGTTCTGATAAGGATCACATTGAATATGCAGATCAATTTGGAGAGTGTTGCAGTCTTAACAATATTAAGTTTTCAACCCATAAACACTGGCTATCTCTTTATTTAGATATTTGTAAATTTCTCCCAACAGTATTTTAAAGTTTTCAATGTGTAAGTTCTGCACATCTTTTGTTACATTTATTCCAAAGTACTTTATTTTTTGATGCTATTATAAATGAAATTTTTCCTTAATTTTATTTTAGGATAGGTCATTGCAAGTTGTATAGAACACAACTGCGTTTTGTATATTGGTTCTGTATTCTACGACCTTTCTTTACCAGTTTACTAGTTCTAGTATCTTTAGTGGATTCCTTATGATTTTATTTACAAAATCATATAACCTGCCAATAGAGACTTTACTCCTTCCTTTCTAATATGATTGCTTTTTACATCATTTTCTTGCCTAACTGCCATGATGAGAACTTCCAGTACAATGTTGAATAGAAGTGGCAAGAGTGTACATTCTTCTTTCATTCCTCATCTTAGGAAGAAAGCATCAGTCTTTCAACATGAACAATCATCTGGATGTGGAATTTTATAGATGCCTTTATCAGGCTGAGGAAATTTCTAGTCCTTGCATTTATTTATTTATTTAAGATTTTATTTATTTGAGAGAGAGAGAGAGAGAGAGAGTGTGCACAAGTGGCAGGGGGAGGAGCAGAGGCAGAGGGAGAAGCAGACTCCCCATTGAGCACGGAGCCCGATGTGGGGCTCGATCCCGGGAGCCTGAGATCATGACCTGAGCTGAAGGCAGACACTTAACCAAGTGAGCCACCCAGGGGCCCCTCTAGTCCTTGCCTTAAAAAAAAAAAAAAGTCATTTTAGGGTAAGTAGGGAAGATAATTCCACCCCAACTTTACAGAGAAAAAAAAACAGTTTCAAAAAAGCTAGGTGCTCAGAAATTTCACTTCTAAGTTATGAGAAATGAAAGCCTATGTGCATACAAAAGCTTGTGCACGAATGTTCATAGCAGTATTCCTCATAACCAAAAAGTATGTCCATCAACTGAAGAATGGATAAAAGTGGTATATCGCTATAATGGAATATTATTCATCCATAAAAAGGAATGAAATACTGATACAGGTTATAACATGGATAAACCTTGAAAACATTATGCTAAGTGAAGGAAATCAGTCACAAAAGGCCACATATTGGATGGTTCCATTTATATGAAATGTCCAGAATAGGCAAATTCATAGAGACAGTATGTTAGTGGTTGCCAGGGGCTGAGAGGAGAAAATGGGGATTTTACTGCTGAAAGCTTTGGGGTTTCTTTATAGAGTGCAGTGAAAATGTCCTCAAATTAGTGATGATAGTTACCCATCTTTAAATACACTAAAACCCACAAATTTTCTATTTTAAATGGGTGAATGTTGGGTGCCTGAGTGTCTCAGTCAGTTAAGTGTCTGACTCTTGATTTCAGCTCAGATCATGATCTCAGGATCCTGAGACTGAGCCTTATATCTGGCTCCACACTGAGTGTGGAGCCTGCTTAAGATTCTCTCCCTTTCCCTCTGCCCCTCCCCACCCCCACTCTAGCTCTATTTAATTAAAAAATAAAGGGTGAGTATTAAAGTACATGAATTATCTCAATTCTTTTGTTTTTGAAGGTTCAGTGGTATGTCCAAGATTATATAGCAAGGGGTGGAGGTGGGATTCATCCTAAGATCTCCTCTGTTAAAAAGCCCTTCCATGGGGCGCCTGGGGGGCTCAGTCGTTAGGCATCTGCCTTTGGCTCAGGTCATGATCCTGGGGTCCTGGGATCGGGTCCCACATCGGGCTCCTTGCTCAGTGAGGAGCCTGCTTCTCCCTCTCCCTCTACTGCTCCCCCTGCTTGTGCTCTCTGACAAATAAATAAATAAAAATCTTTAAAAAAAAAAAAAAAAGCCCTTCCATGACATCATGATACTACTCTCAATGTTAAAATCATTTTGTTCTCTAATGGGTCTACCTGAGCTTATCAGAGACTGAACTGACACTGAAAGAGTCAGGCATACCAGAGAACAGTATGTCAGAAAGTCCCAGTCCCAGATCAGGCTCCTTGTCTCATGAACAGAAAGTCATGGGCTACAAAAGTCCATGAAATTCGCCCCAGGTCTACAAAACTGTCAGTTAAAAATGAGGAATAACTTCCTAAATTATATATACAAAGAATGATAGTCCTTTTCATTCAACAAAACATTTCATTCTAACTCACTCTAGCGCTCATCCCATTATTTAGAAATACTTTAATTCAGCCAAGTTACTGACAATATAATAAATGAGTAATTTACGTAACCTCAGCTGAAATGCTAGGGTGCTTTTGTAACCTATCCACATCCAGATCTTGCAAGTGGGAGGGGTGGTTCTCATTTGTGAAAGCCAAAGTAGCAGTTAGGACACCTCCCCAAGATGAGCCTCTGAACAAAGGCGACTATTTACCCCACTGCTGGTAGGTATAAGACTAGACCCATCTCTTTGCAAAGTTTTAGAAATAGAAGGAAACTGAAGATGATCTAGAGCAAAGGTTCTTAATCTGAGGTTCAAGGATTGAGGGAATCCACAAAATAAGTCATTGAGACCCACTGGAATTGTATATAAAAGGTACCATGGCGATGAAAAGTACAGCATAGGGAATATAATCAAAAATATTGTAATACTGTTGTATGGTAACAGATGGTGACCGCACTTATCGTGGTCGGCACTGATTAATGTATAAAACTGTCCAGTCAGGGGCACCTGGGTGGCTCAGTCGGTTAAGCATCTGCCTTCGGCTCAGGTCATGATCCCGGGGTCCTAGGATCGAGCCCCACATCGAGCTCCCTGCTCAGTGAGGAGCCTGCTTCTCCCTCTCCCTCTGCTGCTCCCCCTGCTTGTGCTTGCTCTGTCAAATAAATAAAATCTTAAAAAAAAAACACAAAACTGTCCAGTGTGTCATATACCTGAAACTAATAAAACATCGTAGGTTAATTATACTTCAATAAAAAATACAGAATAAATGTATGTGGAGGTGTGTTCTTCCCCAGAGTGATGAGGCCCTGTATTTAAAGTACTCTGGGGGCGCCTGGGTGGCTCAGTTGGTTAAGCGACTGCCTTCGGCTCAGGTCATGATCCTGGAGTCCCGGGATCAAGTCCCACATCGGGCTCCCCGCTCAGCAGGGAGTCTGCTTCTCCCTCTGACCCTCTTCCCTCTCGTGCTCTCTCTTTCTCTCTCTCTCAAATAAATAAATAAAATCTTTAAAGTACTCTGGAATTCACAGAAACCAACTTTGTAAATCCTAACTATGACATAATAGAAGTCTTGTTTTGCTTGTTAGAGTAACATGTACCAGAGCAATTTCAAGGAATGCCTTTCATTAGCAAGCAGCTGTGAGGTTTATCCCAAATTGGTGCTATGCCAAGTCTTCTGCTGGAAAACTGAATGCACTGATTTGCTCTTGTAATACCACGGGAGGTTTGCATTACCTCCGATATGCCCATTATGGAAAGCGCTAAGAATACATTTCTATATCAAGATAAAATAATTTGCAAAGGGGTTATGTTTTTCTCATTCCCAAGGTAACCAAATGTAGGCAGCTATTACTAGTAGAAAAGCAACTTGGCTTTAAGAGATTATTTTGCCTCCTTACCTAACCATATCCAATAGATTCCAAAAGATGAATAAAACACACACCACATATTTCTCTTGGACTTCCTCTTGACTGGTGATCACCACAAAGAGGATGATTATTCTCTCTGTGAGCTAACAAAGAAACAGCAAAGTCAAGAATTAGGATCATCTGTTAAGCATGTAGGTAATTTTCTAATTTTAAAAACCAGAGTTCCTCTTCAAAGTATGCTTTAACTGGAAATAGGTATGCTAAACTGTTAACATGATCTCTCAGGGAGTAGGGTTACAAGTCAATTTCATTTCCTCCTTGGTGTTTTTTGTATTCTCCAAATTATATATCATGAATGAAAAGAAAACATATTTTATCTAATCAGGATATTTCTCCTCCTGCGATATATGCACCCATGTTTTTATTCACTTTGGCAAGCTTTTATTGAATGTCCACTATGTATTAGACGCCAAGGTAATATATATAGTGAAAGGGTGGTCCTTGCTACATAGAGTAGGAGTAGTATGACAATGTGGGGGTAGAATTCCCACACAGTGTGAACAATGCTGTCATTTGAAGTGCTCCGAATGGGAGCACAGGTGAGGGACATACCTGTCTGGGGAAAGGATGCAGAGAGATTTATTAAGACAGGCAACACCTCAGCTGGATCAGGAGTTTGTCAAGTAGACTGGATAGGAAAAAGGACATCCTAGGTCAGGTGAGCAGGCGAAGCAAACAGGCAGAGGTGTGAAAATGCAGGTGTATTAGGAAGTAAGGAGAACCCCTGGAGGCTAGAGTTGGGGGAAGGTACAGAAAAGGGAATAAATAGATAAAATCGAAAACGTGGTGGGGGCTGGGTTATAAAGGGTTTTGAATGATAGGCCAAGAAATTTCGATTTCATCTAACAGGGAAGCTATTGTAGCCTTTTTTTTTTTTTTTAGAGGGTGGATGGAGGGGAAAGAGAAGTAATATAATCCTAACCTTTATAAGCCAGTGGAAAATGAAAAGAATTTAACATACACATTTTTTTCCAAGTCAGTAAGCATTTGCAAATCATTGAGAATTCATACACTTATGGCTTAGCTCCAATTACTGACCTCAAAAAATAAGTTTTTCTTTCCCAATCTAAATATAATGTGCCTTCTTATATTAATTCCCCTGTACAGTGGGCATTTTTTGTTTTTGTTTTTTAACAAAACATTCTACTTTGTTCTCAATGGTCAAAGGAAAATGTACTTGAGATTGAGGGAGCATATTAGTGATAAAGGAAAGGGGAGGATTGCTTTATATTTTTCAATAGGCAGATCTTTATTTTTAAGGCAGATCAAGGAGAAAGAATGGAACAATCTGTGACTTAGAATCATAGGTTGTTAATCCTGGAGAATCATCTAGTGCAGAGAAATCCCAGATTTGCTAACACTGGGCCACATGATCAGATATGCATGTGTATGAGCTCTACCAGCGTGTATGACCACAGCAGTGAGTCAAGAGGACCTTTGCTTGGCTAAGGGAATTAGATATGATTCAAACCTTAGTCAATCTATAGAAACCATTTACATAGCTGTACTGATTCTCTCAGTCTTTCTTTAAAATGCCCCAGTTTCTTGATTTAATTATATTTACATAATAATGAAGTATACTTAACCTCAATTAAAATTACCAAATGATCCAAGCTTGCGTCAGTGACAGCGGGCAGCCTTCAGATAAAAGATTTTAGCAGCACACAAGAATCTCATGTTTGGTCAGTGCCTGCTAATTAGGAAACTCGTCTAATTTCTGGTTTTTTGTTTTTAAAGATTTTTTATTTATTTGACAGACAGAGAGAGAACACGAGTAGGCAGAGTGGCAGGCAGAGGCAGAGGGAGAGGCAGACTCCCCGCGGAGCGGGGAGCCCAATGCGGGGCTCGAGCCCAGGAGCCCGGGATCATGACCTGAGCCGAAGGCAGCCACTTAACCGACTGAGCTGCTCAGACGCCCCAAAATCAAATCTATTTTTTTTTTTAATAAAACTCTCAAGATACATATACATGAGTACATACACACAACATATTTCTAATTATATGGCTGGCTACAGAAAACAAAAACCTAGATAACTCTTGATAAAATGGATCTCTAGGGTCCACTCTAGCCCAATACCACCTTTTTACTAATAAAAAATTGGGGAACCAGAGAAGTGACTTGCCCTAGTGGCAGACCTGGAAGCACGTATCCCACGTTTTGTGGTTTCCAGAGTTATAAGCTATCCATGATGTCAGACTTCCCCTTAACTGATGAGTAGAGAAGGAAATCTCCTAAAACAGAAATGGTGCTGAACAACAGAATTCATCCTGTTGAGGGGCGCCTGGGTGGCTCAGTGGTTAGGCATCTGCCTTCGTCTCAGGTCATGATCCCAGCGTTCTGGGATCGAGCCCCACATCGGGCGCCCTGCTCGGCGGGAAGCCTGCTTCTCCCTCTCCCTGCTGCTTCCCCTGCTGGTGCATATGCTCTCTATCTCAAATAAATAAAACCTTAAAAAAAAAAAAGAAAAGAAAATCATCACTTGAGGGTGCTTGGGTGGCTCAGCCGGTTAAGCGTCTGTCTTCAGCTCAGGTCATGATCCCAGGGTCCTGAGATCGAGCCCCACATCAGGTTCCCTGCTCAGTGGTAAGCCTGCTTCTCCCTCTCCCACTCCCCCTGCTTGTGTTCCCCCTTTTGCTGTGTCTCTCTGTGTCAAATAAATAAAAAATTAAAAAAAAAAAAATTCATCCTGTTGAAAATCATCACTTGAGGGGCGCCTGGGTGGCTCAGTCAGTTAAGTGCCTTCGGCTCAGGTCATGATCCCGGGGTCCTGGGATTGAGCCCCGCATCAGGCTCCCTGCTCTGCGGGGAGTCGGCTTCTCCCTCTGCCCCTCCCCCCTCTCGGGCATGTGCTCTCAAATAAATAAATATTAAAACAACAACAACAAAGTGAAAGTGACTTGCCTACAGATCTGGAATAAAAATCTAGACAATGTGATTCTAAATCCCTTGTTCTGAAACACTAACACATTTTCCCCTTTGTTATTTTTTTTAAACTTTTTTTTTTTTTAAAGATTTTATTTATTCAATTGAGACAGAGAGAGCGCACAAGCAAGGGAAGCGGCAGGCAGAGGGAGAGGGAGAAGCAGGCTTCCCGCCGAGCAGGGAGCCCGATGCAGGGCTCGATCCCAGGACCCCGGGATCATGACCAGAGTCGAAGGCAGACGCTTAATGACTGAGCCACCCAGGCGCCCCGCCTTTGTTATTTTATGGGCTATCTTTATGCCTAATATCCTAGGTTATAGTCTATTCTTTCAAAAAGCCTCTCTTCAAAAGTTAAACCTTAAAACAAGAACCTCCTTCGTATTCTAAATCAACACCAAAACACTTCTGAAGAATAGACTTTAAATTTATTCCTTTTTTATGTATAAGAATTTGACCAGTTACTTGGAGCTTTACACTTGTGAGAACTTAGCACTTTGTCATTTTAAGCAAATCCTAAGAGAACATGACTAATTACTAATAGCTTTTTAGTGTTTAGTGTAGCTCAAACTTGGTAGGAATAAAAGTACAATTAAAAAAACCCAGGAACTTAGGCCAAATTAAACATTGTCTTAATGTGGTCTACTCAGAAGTATGGTAACTATAAAACAAAAATACCTCGCATTTTTATGTTCTATTTGGGAATCCTACATTCCAAGTTAAGCAGTGACTAAAACTACGTTGTTATTTAATAAATGGCAGCTGGCACTCAGGTTATCAACGACGCAATTACAAACTATTCCCTCTATGGAGAGAATTTCTAGAATCAAGTAGCAGAAGAGATCAAGAGAACAATGACATTTACAACTGCACACACACAAAAATAACAAAATACCCAGAAATAAATTTAACCAAGGAGATGAAAGACCTGTACTCCAAAAACTATAAAACTCCGATGAAGGAAATTGAACATGCCATGTTAATGGAAAGATATTCCATGCTTATGAATGAGAAGAACCAATATTGTTAAAATGTCCACACCACCATAGCAACCTACAGATGTAATGCAATCCCTATCAAAATGCCAACATTTTTCACAGAACTAGAATAAATGATCCTAAAATTTGTGTGGAACCACAAAAGACTTCAAATAGACAAAGCAATCTTGACAAAGAACAAAGCTGGAGTTACTACAATCCCAGATTTTAAGATACATGACAAAGCTGTATTAACCAAAACAGCATGGTATGAAACAGATACATAAATCAAGGGAACAGGATAGAGAGCCCAGAAATAAATCCATGCTCACATGGTCAATTAATCTACAACGAAGGAGGCAAGGATACACAATGGGGAAAAGACAGTCTCTTCAACCAGTGGTGCTGGGAAAATGGGACAGCTACATTTAGAAGAATGAAACTGGACCATTTCCTCACACCATATACAAAAATAAACTCAAAATGGGTCAAAGACCTAAACATGAGACCTGAAGCCATGAGCGTCCTAGAAGAAAATGTTGGCAGTAATTTCTTTGACATCAGCTATAGAAACATTTTTCTAGATAGAACTCCTCGGGCAAGGGAAATAAAAGTGAAATTGAACTATTGAGACTACACCAAAATGAAAAACTTTTACACAGTGAAGGAAACCATCACCAAAAAGGCAACCTACTGAATGGGAGAAGATATTGGCAAATGATATATATTCTATAAGGTATTAATATCCAAAATATACAAAGAACTTCTACAACACCAAATACACCAAATAATCTGATTAAAAATAGGCAGGAGACCTGAATAGACATTTTTCTAAAGAAGACATACAAATGGCCAACAGACACATGAGAAGATGCTCAACATCACTCGGCATCAGGGAAATGCAAATCAAAACCACAGTGAGATACCACGTCAGTCAGAATGGCTATAATCAACAACACAGAAAATAACAAGTATTAGTGAGGGCATGGAGAAAGAGGAATCTTTGTGCACTGTTGGTGAAAGTCACTGTGGAAGACAGTATGGAGGCTCCTTAAAAATTAAAAATCAAATTACCATATGACCCAGTAATTCCACTACTAGATATTTACCCCAAGAAAACAAAAACACTAATTTAAAAAGATATATACACCCCTATGTTTACTGCAGCATTATTTACAATAGCCAA